AAGAAGCTTGATATCATCCCCGCCACATTCAAGCTCCCTCCAGAGGAACGCAATTGGACGTGTGCCTTCTGCCAGGCTTCTTTGCCCTACATTCATTCCAAAAAGCAACGAGATTTGAGCGTTGAAAACCACTATGCAACTGCGCACCGACGCAGGAAACGCACGCGCTCCCACATTCAGAAGGCCCGTTGGAAGCAACTTCGCACTTGCAAAGAGTCTCAGCCCACCTTAGCTGCGTCTTACAAGAAAGCTGGACAGAAACGTTCTGCGCAAGCGAAAGCCAGAAGAGACCTTACCTTAGGCGGACATCAGCTTGTCAAACTCGCCCGTAACGCTGACACTTGGCCTAAAGAAGGTGGCATGTTGGGTCCCAAAACCGATAAGTGGAAAAATAGGCGTAAGCAATATGCCAAGAAAAGCAAGAGCAAGCAGCCCCGTCAAGAACAAATTGAGATGTTCACCTGCGTCAAGCCGCAGGTACAGCGCTACGATGGCAGGCTGGGCTGCCCTTTGCAAAGGGTCACCGTGCAAAGCAGCCAATGGGACCCGTAAGTTCTGGCGAGTACTGCAGGCTGAGTCCCCCGACAACCTCAAGATTGTATTAAAGGCGTGGAAGGTCTTTAGTGACCAGCTCAAAAGCAGGGCCGACAGAAAGCGCAAATGCTTGGTTGAGCATGGGGACGTTGAGAGACAACCAGGTCCCGAAAGTAGCCCTCTAAATTGCCCGTACTTCCCTAAGCCTCACCTGCTGTTTGCCAGATCTAAAGCCCTGGCAGACAGAGCTTTCCAGCGACTGATTGAGCAGGGCATTGAGCCTCACCCTGGCCCTGGTCAAAATGTCAGCGTTGTCTCCTGCAACACTGGAGGCGTGCCCGGAGCGTGGAGAGCCCTGCGTTTGCTCACCTACGGCAGTGTCCTCTTAATGCAAGATACCCCCTTTTCACAAGCTGAGGCTGAAGCGTTTTCCAAAGCTGCTAAGCGTAGTGGTTCTCGCATGCACTGGACCCCTGGTCGCACCTCGGGCACAAGAAAGGTTGGAGGCCTCACCGCTCTTGTGCCTCAAGCTATGCGCCAGCAACCAAGCAGTGGTCTTCAAAATGGCACTGTGGAAATGCTTTGCACTTGGGTGCAAGGTATTGCCATCCTTAATTACTACTTTCCCCCCTGAACAGCAAGAGAGCGCAGCCGCTCTTATTGCCGAAGCAGAGGTTGGTCTTAGACTCACTGAAGTTCCTTTCCTTGCAGGAGGGGATGCCAATGAAGAGCCACTGCATTCTGTCACTGCGTCAGCTTGGCAATGTGCTGGAGGGACGGTCTTCAGCACTGGATCGCCCACTCGTTGGTCTGGCAGTAGAGAGATTGACTGGTTCGTCTGCCATCGAGGCCATTGGCTAAGTGAGCCCTGGCAAAACAAGCTTGCGGTCAGTGACCACATTCCGGTTTGCAGCGATTTCTTCGCAACTAAAAGGCTCAACAAGCGAGGGCGGCTGAAGCAGCAACCCCGTTGGAACAGGCCACCTTTCTTGTCGCCTGACGAGTGGCAGCGTCTCCTTAAACAAGAGTGGGAAAAATGCACCCGCACCCACCCGTCTTATAGTTGCCTGAGTACTCTTTTGGACATGCCAAGGCCTAAGGTGCAAGAAGAATGGAATGAATTCATGATCTTGATGTCTGCCACCTATCACAATGCAGCTCAAACTGCTAGCGCAATGGCTCAGCCAGGTCCTGACAAAGAGTATCTGGAAAGAGCTTTAAAGCAGCCCGGCCTTCGTAATGGCAAAGGGGTCCAACCAGCCGTTCACCAGTGGGTCTCGGTTACCACTAGGCCCGCTGATTCCCTAAAGGCACAGAGGCCATGCGTAAAGTTGCAAAAAATCTTGCGCGTCTGCACGAAACACGAAAGCTAGCTCTCCGAGCCCTGCAACAGAACTTGCGAGTAGTGCAGCAGAGCAGTCCCATCAGCTGTGGCCAGAAGAGCCTGATCTGAGCCTGCGTGAAGCTGTCCGCAGAGCTGAGGTTGAGATTGAGCTGGCCCAAACTGCCCGTGCCAATCAAGAAGAAGCGGACCAGCGCCGTCGAATCTCTGATTGGAAGCGCAATCTGGTTAATGGGGGCTTGAAGAGTATCAGCAAGTGGGTTCGCGCTAAAGAGCTGCCACAGGTTGCTGTCAATGTCACTCAGAACGGCTCGGTTGCACAGGATGACACTGCTGCTGCGGAGATGATACGCAAACACTGGGCTCAGGTACAGCGAGACCAAGCCCGCTGCTCCAAGCATACTAGTGAGGAGGTCGCTGAAACATTGCTGCAGGGGTTTGGTAAATCCCTTGTTAAAGAGCAGAGCTCGCCACATTCGTGGGCTGAACCGACAGTTGCTCACCTCACCAGTGCTGTCCGGCGAAGTTCAGGGTCGGCCGGCCCAGACTCGTGGACAGGAGATGAGCTTAGCAACGCGCCTGATGCATGCATCTGCCTCTTCCACCGGTTGTCTCAAAGATGGGGAGTTGCGGCTCAGGTGCCAACTCAGCTTGAGGAAGGTAGACAAGTGAATCTGCCCAAACCTCACAAGGTGTATGACGCGGCTTACATCAAAGCAGCAGACACGCGACCCATCACGGTGCTCTCAGTGTGGTGGAGAGCATATGCAACTGCGTGGGCTACTAGCCCATCCCTCAAACAGTGGTTAGCAAAGCAGGTTGCTCCTGAAGTCTGCGGACTGGCAGACCGCGCAGGATGTGAAGAATCTGGCGCGATGCTTCAAGATCATTTGGTAAAAGTCAAAGGTGTCTTGGTCTCTCTAGACTACAGTCAATGCTTTGACCGGCTCGACCCAGCGGCTACTGCGTTGCTGCTCCAAGAGCTCCATTGGCCTAGCAGCCTCGTTAACGCCATGCTCGCGGTTTGGGGTAAAGGCCATAGATGGATCCAATGGGGTGGTCATACTCACCCTGTTCCCCTGAAGTGCCAAGCTGCGCCTCAAGGCTGCCCGTTGGCCCCAGCCATTTTGAGCATTTGGCTTTCTAGCGGAGTTGCCAATGTGTACCAAAGGTTGCGTGATCAAGGATATGCTGAGCGACACCTTGATAAATCCTTGACCAGAACGTATATGGATGATCGCACCTTTGTCTGCCCTACCTGGCCTGATGCCAGGGACCGTGCAAATGCGTGGTTTTCATTCTCTAGCCAAGTGAATCTGAGAGAAAATGAAGACAAAGCCCAAGCTTGTGGCAAAACTAGGCACAACCAGCTACTGGTGCAAAAGCACAGGCCCGAATGGACCAAGCAGATGCCGAAAGTCCTTGGCATCACTTCGGTCACCCGACCTAGGAAAGAAGCCGAGAGTGAAAGCCAACGTTTAAACAAAGGCCATCGCAGGTTGCATCTCCTTTCGTGCCTGAAGCTCCCGTTTGAACAGTTCTTGCCCTGCTATCGTGCCCTTGTCCTCCCTGTTGTGACTTACGGGTGGATCGGCAAGCTTCCGGGCCGCACCCGCTCCAATGCGATCTTCACGGATCTCTCCACTGCCATGGGCACGCTGCGGTTAGCCAATGGCCGCCTTCGAGAGGTAGTTTACGGTGCAAATACTCATCTCGACGCTGTTCTTGGCCAGAGACTTTTTGCAAGGGTCTCTAAGCTCAAAGCAAAAATTGCGCTGACTTGGACCAATGATGCATATACTTCGATCGGCCAACCAAGGCGCTGGTTGGCAAAATGTGGCTGGGTGCCTGATGGGCCCTGGAAATGGAAGGCAGGCGCAGAGAAGCTCCAAGTGGTTCAAGACGGCAACCCAGTTGGAGTGGAGAAGCAGAAGCACAATATACGGCACCGCTGGAGACATGAGAATCTCTTCAGATGGGCTGCTGGCCGTAGACATGAAGCAGCAGCGCTGCGTGGCACGCTTCCTGCAGAACAGATAGTGCAAGAGTTGCGCTCAACAAACCTGGAATGGATCAGAAAGCAGACCAGCGCAAATGCAGAATCTCGCAGTGTCCTGTTGGGCACGGTAGCGTCCTTTGCTTGGCTTGCAAAGGCTAAAGGACAGAGTGACCGCGAAAGCCATGCCCATGCTTGTGCCTGGTGCAACAGGAGTCTTGGAGACTGGTTGCATCTAGCGTGGGAATGCCCTGAAGCGCCTAGCCGAGCTACGCGCCCAGCTAAACCCAGAAGATGGCTTCAAGCTCGCTTTGGGTGGCCTGCACTGAGACAAAACAGTCAGGATGCGTGGAGAATCCTACAGCATCTAGCCAGTACTGTCACTGAGTTGTGGCGATTTCGCCACGGTCGGAATTAAGAGGATGGTGTTTTCATGCTTGATTCCCTAGAGTTTAGCCACTGTGCCGCAATCTTTCTTTTGCCATGCATCCCTGCCGAGCTTGCTTCAGATCCAGGCTTTCTCACTTGCCTAGCACTTATCTGCCGCGCTTGCTTCGTACTGTGGAGACACCCTTGTCTTCTGCGCCAACTTGTGTGAGCATACTTCACTTTATGTGAGCAGCATGCCTTTAGGCGTGCAAGCATTCTTTCTTGAGCTCTGTGGAGAAGTTCTACTTCTCCGCCGCTGGCTGTGCTTGCAATTCAAGGGCAAGTACAGTTCAACACAATTCGGGCTGTTGTCTGAGTTTAGGCCTAAACCCTAAAAGGACAAGGTTTGGGTGGCTTTGCCGCCTGGGACGGCGTGGGGTGGGAGAAAAGTGTTAGACGGCCCTCCACAATCGGGCCAAAACTGCTCTTCGCACCTCACGAAGCTTTCGAGCTTGGTCCGAAACCTAACCTTCACAGCATCTACGCCCTATCACAGCAAACCCTAAACCCTAAACCCTAAACCCTAAACCCTAAACCCTAAACCCTAAACCCTAAACCCTAAACCCTAAACCCTAAACCCTAAACCCTAAACCCTAAACTACCAGTCATATGAGTGGCAGTGGCGTTGGATAGGCAGGGCAGGGGCGATAATGACACAGACCTTCTGCGGAAGGGGACTACACAGTCCACCACGCACCAATGCTTGCGCGTCTTTCCTCCGGTAACCTCGACTTGACCCTGCGGATGCGGGCGCTGGATGTGCGTGCAGTGCGGGTGGCGAAACCCTAAACCCTAAAACCTTAAACCCTAAACCCTAAACCCTAAACCCTAAACCCTAAACCCTAAACCCTAAACCCGGAACGTCGTCGAAACGGATGTCGTGAGTGTCACAGCCCACCAGAGAACCTTCCGACCGATGCCTTGCCGGCCGTGTGCGAGTGTGATCAGTCGAAACCCTGAACCCTAAACCCTAAACCCCAAACCCTAAACCCCAAACCCCAAACCCCAAACCCCAAACCCCAAACCCTAAACCCTAAACCCTAAACCCTAAACCCTAAAGGGCCACTCTGAAGAAGGTGCCAGGTGCCGGTCCTGCCGGCCTTCAGCTGTCGGGACCTGCAGCCCTGGAGTGGCTTTCTGGACTCGGCTTTTGGGGGGACATGCTTTGGGATGTAGGGTTTAGGGTTTAGGGTTCAGGGTTTAGGGTTTAGGGTTTAGGGTTTAGGGTTCACGTTGGCATGTTCCCTCTAACAGTCTTTAGTAGGGATTATAATCGCCCTTTTTGGGGTTTAGGGTTTAGGGGTTGAACTGGTTCAAAAGGGTTTAGGGTTCAGGGCTTTGGGGGTTTTTTATGGCTTTTGGGATTGGGGGCTTAGGGGCGTTCAGGGCCTTGCGGGGGTTTCGGCTAGAGGAGGGGGTCCCCTAAAATCACTACGTGCTGATGAAAAGAACCGCCGCCCCTAACAAGCTCCTAAGGTAGAACCATCCATCTTTCTCTTGCTTGGGGCTTGGATGCGTGGACGGTTGGGGGGGGGGGGTGTGAGAAAGCACCGCAGGACCATAAGCACATCTAAACCCCTCTGTAAACCCCTCTGTGAGCCTCAGTGAACCTACCTGCCGTCTCTTTGCGCGCAGGAGCGGCTGGAGCGCAATGCCGCACAAGGTCAGAGTCCAAATCTTACACGACAAAGCCTGGCAAACCCCAAACCCCTACACCCTAAACCCTTAAGCCCCTACACCCGAAACCCTTATACCCCTACACCCTAAACCCACCCTGGAGTGTGGCTGGTTTATTGGCGGGTGGCCCCCCCCCCCCCCCCCCTCCACAGTGAGAGTCTCACCGGCCCCGAAACCCGAAACCCCACACTGAACCCCACACCCTAAACCCAATCCCCAAACCCAAACCGGAAGCGGGGAAAAGCTCGAAACCCAGGAACGGGCGGGCTTTCCACTGCAAATTAGGGAGTTTCGGATTTCCGTTTCTGCCCTGGGAGGTCATAGCTGTTTGTTTTTTCAGGTTTACCCTAACCCTAACCCTCAGCCCATAACCCTAGGTTCAGAGCAGTCAGGCGCAACATGCAAGCCTGGTGTAAAGAAAAAGGGTTTGGGTTCGGGAGGGAACTGTGACTCCAAACCCCCAAGCCAGAAACCTTAAGCCCTACCTAGAGCTGTACGGAAAAGAGGCTTTCCCTTGGATATGGAGTTGCTTCAGACGGCGGACGACCTGGTCGTCCGCTTCCAGGCCAAACCTGGAGAGGCCCGACGGTTTAGGGTTTAGGGTTTAGAGTTTAGGGTTTAGGGACATCCTAACCATTCCCGGCCGACTCCTCAAGTGCCGATGCAAAAGGGCTTGGGGACCATCCAGCAGCTTGACATAGGAAGAGCAAGATCATGGGAAGGTCCATTGTTAGGCCCTTGCAGGGGTGGGGGGTGGGGCTCCCGTTTGCGCCATCTTTTTTTGGGCTGGGGGGGGGGGGGGGGTTTCGAACCATAAACCCTAAACCAGGTCCCTGAATCCCTTTACCCGAATCCCTGGGGCAACAAAAACCCTGGGGATTCGGGTAAAAGGATTCAGGGACCCTGATTTTCAGCTGGTTTAGGGTGTTGAGATCTGGCGATCTTCAGAATTGACCTTTCCGTGCCTCGTCTTACGGTTAAGGGTTGAGGGCTAAGGGTTGAGGGTTTACGGTTTAGGGTTGAGGGTTAAGGAGGGTTTAGGGCTAAGGGTTGAGGCTTGAGGGCTGAGTGTTAAGCGCAGAAGTACCGGAGCACACCCAGTCCGCAGGGACCATGTCGAGTCGGAAATGCTGCTGGCGACGGTTTGCTTCAGAACCCCCCCCCCCTAAAAGTGCCCAAGATACCAATCCCTATATCTTTTGGGGAGGAATCCCTTCGGCGTGTTCTTCAGCAAATAGTAGGCCCGGCTCGTGCTTCAGCAGTATCATGTGGACGTTTTCATTGCGTATATATGGGTCCCTATATAGTTCGGCACCCTGAGAAAAAAAGGAGCTCTAATTCAAAGAACTACCCATATGTCTATGTAGTACAGAAAGCTTGGCCATGAATTCTGTAGCCTAGTGCCGCTGAACCTCAGTCGACCGGTTTGCGGACCCCTAAAAAAACCGGAGATAACACCAGCAACCGAAGATAAAACCCTAAAGCCCAAAACCTAAATCCTAAACCCTGGACGCTATGCAATTCCCAAGGCCCCCAGACCATAAACCCTAAACCCTTCAACGAACTGCCCAGAAGACCATAAACCCTAAACCCAAAACCCTAAACCCTAACCCTAAACCCTCAACCTCTTTGGAATAAAGAAGACGGTGCCCCCCAGAGGCGCATCCCCCAGAGGGCTTCTTCAACTACATCTGCGGCCTGCAGGAGCCGCTTGGGCTCTTGGTTTCGTTTGGTTTTGTAGGGGTGGGCTTAGGGTTTAGGGTTTAGGGTTTGGGGTTTAGGGTTTAGGGTTTAGGGTTTAGGGTTTAGGGTTTAGGGCATTTTGGGGGGTGGGAGGGCTGACTTCGGTGAGGAAAAGTGCCTTCTTGACGCTGTTGGGCTGCTGCCCTTGATCAGAGTCTGGGTCAAACATCATGGTCCTCATGGTCGTCGTCATCAACCTCACCATCCTCACCCTCACCCTTGTGTCATTAACCTCATTGTACGGGGTGGGGCCGCGATGGGTTGGGATTGTAGGGTGCAGGGCCAAAAACCTTGAAGAGCGGGTCGTGAAAAGTCACTGAGCGCCTGAGAGTGAGAGAGAAAGAGGCCCGAGCAGCACAAGCACCCTTCTCATCTCAGCAGCATCCAGGATCAAGGAATCCAATGGACAAAGAGACCCTGCATCGCAAGAGCCGGAATCGGAGTTACATACGGTGTGAAAACTTAAGCTTTGCCAACGCTTCTGCGGATTTAGCCGAGGGGGAATGGGGGAACGAACAATGCTGGACGGTTTGAGCAGCCGTCTCACGACGGCACAGGAACTCGCGCGAGGAGTCCCCTGGGCCCCCCAAGCCGTGAAGAAGAAGGAGAGAGCGAGAGAGAGAACGGGCGTGCATTGTGCGCGGAGGGCGCGTCAGCGTCCTTCATGCCCCGAAGAAGAAGAAGAAGAAGAAGAAGAAGAAGAAGAAGAAGAAGAAGAAGAAGAAGAAGAGGAAGAGAGAGAGAGAGAGAAATAGAGAGAGAGAGAGAGAGAGAGAGCGAGAGAGCGAGTGAGAGAGGCAGAGGGGTTTTACGACCTCTTCAGATGGGCTGTGAGGGTTCAGCTATTTGCAGGTTCTTGGGTTCTCAAACTTCTCGCACTTCGTACTGCGAGCCTTTCCACCGTGTGCAAGCTTCTTCGTCCCCGGCCCTGAACCCAAACCCTAAACCCAGTGTGGTTGCGAGGCTGCTAGGCAGGTGGCAGGTGGCAAAAAACCCTAACCCTGAGCCCTGAACCAAACCCCCTACAGGTTAAGGGTTAAGGGTTTAGGGTTAAGCCTCCATAGCACGGCCACCCTCAGCTTCAAACCCCATAAACCCTTCAAACATCGAACAAATGCCAAGGTGGCCGCTGCCCAACCAGCTCCCGGGCTTCTGACTAGCTTAGAGTTTGGGGCTCTTCTGTGGGCGACTGTGAGATTCCCACATTGGGGTTTAACAAATCCTATAAGAATATTCTTCAGGGAGGTTGCGAAGGGCCTCTGACCCAGGTTCTGCCTCTTCGGCTACGTCAGCGCCCTCTTCGTCCGAGCACGGCATCTGATGCTGGAGCCGGGGGAGCGGGAGACTGCCAACGCGGCCTTGGCCTTACACAGATGTGCATGGGCGCGCTTGGGAATCAAAGGGGAAATCGCAGGGGAACCCTTCTGGGCAGCCCAGATGATCTCAACCCTGTAGAACCATCATGAAGCCTCATGTCAGCCCTGAGGTTCATTGAAGCTCTAGAGTTTTCGGGGTTGAGTGGGGTCTGTCGTCTCTGTGCGCACACAAAACCCGCCACAGCTCGAGTTCTGCTGCTGGGCAGGCCCAACCGCTCCTTTGTTGGGTTCCGTTTTAGGGTCTTCATACAGCGCTTTGGCATCCCTCAGGATTTGTCCTATGCCGAGCCGATCTTAGGAAAAGAGAAGCTTGGCCAAGGCAGGGGGATGTTGAGTTGTTCGCTTCCGCGCGCATGGGGTGTCTCTTCAGGGGAAAAGCTGGGGCTTACGACCCCGGTGACCGAGATCTGTGCAAGAAGGCTTCGCTTCCGCAGCGCGAAGCCCTGAACGCAAAACCCTCCGCAACAAAGGATCAGTCTGGACTTTCTAGACTCGTCCCCCTGGCCTGTGTCCATCCTCGACATCTTCCTGCGGCTGGTTGGCAGAGATGCTGGGGCTTGGGGATCGGAGTTTGGGGTAGGGCAGTGAGGGTTCGCCCTCCTCTTGGTAGCTTTTGCCAGTCCAGGAACATCAACCAGACAGACTTCATGACCTACGCGCCTTGGTGTCACGAGGAAAACAGGTGTTGAGGAACACTTCGCAGCTAGCCCCCAGTTGCCACCCCTGCATCAAGCGATTGTGGCGTGTTGCAGAGGGTAAGACCTGAGGCCCAAGTTGTGCACTACGCACGCCTAAAGTGAAGCCCTGAGAACTTGGGAGCCAGAAGGCCTGCACCACTGAGGCGCAGTACGTCTCCAAGAATCCGGTGAGACCTCCGTCGGTGCCGCTGGAATCGCTGCACTGGCAGCCCCCACTGGACTTGGTTGCGAGGTTCCGGAGCCCTTGACCCTCTATGGATCATGATGGAGCCAAGCCTAACCCTAAACTATCCTAACTCACAAGGCTCCACCTTGGAAGCCCCCGGCGGACCAATCCAAGAATCACTTTGAATTCCCCCCCAAAGACACAGGCCTAAAGCTCAGAATAGCGAGAGCTGTATCAGGAAACCTGAAAACCCCTGAGCCGATTCACCTTTGTGCCCGGCAGGCTGTCGCAGCCGCGAGCCAAAGCCCTGGTGCAGGTGGCTGTCTTCGGCACGCACGCGACGCTGCAACTGGGCATAATCCCTTGGCCACAGCACCCCCCCCCACCCCTCAACCCTAAACCCGAACCTCCCTGAAAACCCTAGACCCTAAACCCTAAACCCCAAACCCTAAACCCTAAACCCTAAACCCCAAACCCTAAGCGCACAAGCCCATCGTGTCCAAGGTCGCTAGAGCCGGTGGACATGCTGAAGCGGTCACAGGCGTCGGCTGGCTGGAAGACCCTATGTACGGGCGCCGGTTGGTAGCTGATACCATAAGAGGGAGCAGCCGAAGGCATGGCTTTCGCCCGAACCCCTAAACCGGAAGTGACTCCCAGAACCTGGACGGAGGGATCCAAGAGCCTCCGTGACCTCGCAGCTTTGAGTTCTGAGTTAAGTGCCCCTCTAAAACCCAGATCCTGAACCCGAGCTTTCTGATTCCTAAAAGGAATCAGAAACCCAGATATTTTTTTCCCACCCCCTAGGCCCACAAAAATGCCATGGTTTCTCAGTCCGGAAGTCGGGGCCACGCCCTCAAGCCGAGGCACTTCGAGCTCAAGGCGACGTTCTTCGGCCTCGCTGGGGCCTCGGGCCCTGCCTCGGTGGTTCTGTAGGCCCTAAACCGTACACCCCAGGCCCTAAACCCTAAACCCCAAACCCTAAACCCCAAACCCCAAACCCGAAACCCTAAACCCTAAACCCTAAAACCCTAAAACCCTAAAACCCTAAAGCCCTAAACCCTAAACCCAAAATGAATCCTAAACCTTAAGCCCTACATCAGGAGGGAAAAAAACCCTAGATCCAAGCCGGAAGCCCCCGAAGCCCAGGTCTTTAGCACCCCCAAATCCTCAACCCGAACAGCCTGCAGGTGCGTGCCAAACTGCGCATGGGTTTAGGGTTTAGGGTTTAGGGTTTCGGGTTTAGGGTTTAGGGTTTAGGGTTTAGGCTTTAATGAAATGTTTTCAAGCGTATTTCGCTGAGCATCGTAGAAAGTTGTAGAAAGTTCTTAACCAGCATGGATTCCGACGTAGAGGTGATAGCTTCGTGGCATTAGCTTTTCAGCTAGCCACATCAACCAAGTATCTGAACGAAGTGTTCCTCTCGTACTGACTTCGATCACTGTCGCAGAATCTTGTTCATCAGTAGGGTAAAACTAACCTGTTGTCTCACGACGGTCTAACCCTTTTGGCGGGTGAGCAATCCGACGCTTTTGGGAGTTCTGCTTCTCAATGAATGATCGGAAGAGCCGACATCGAAGGATCAAAAACACCATCGCTATGAACGCTGGGCTGCCACAAGCCAGTTATCCCTGTAGTGATTTTCTGACACCTCTAGCTGATGTGTTTTCTCAGGCCCAAAGGATCGATAGGCCATGTTTTCACAGTTTGTAGTCGTACTGACAAGCAAAATCAAGCAAGCTTTTCCCCTTTTGGTCCACACGAGACTTCTGTTCTCATTGAGCTTACCTTAAGACACATGCGTTATCATTTCACAGATGTGCCGACCCAGCCAAACTCCCCACCTGACGGTTTCTTCTGCACATAGCACACAGAGCTTGAACTTCTCAGTCGTATGTGTTGTTCCTGACAGCGTTTTCTATTCTAGGCCCGGGGTCTCTAGTAAGCTAACTTCTGAAAAAAACGCTGAAACAGTGCTTTGATAGCAAGGAGTTGTCCTAGTTTATCGTCGAAGAGTTGCTCTTTTGACGATCCCCAAGCAATCAGGTCTGTCGTTGAGTTGCAGCTTTTGGTTAAGCCCTCCACTCGTCGCTGGGCTCAGGTTTATCATGTCTTCTAATTCGCCTCTTGCTCTCATAAGAAGGGTTCTTGAGGGTCGTCTTATGATTGAGCTAGGGTTAGGGTATCCCGGAACCCCTTTGTGCTGAAGCAGTCTTTGGAAGGAGCCGCGCTGGTGCGAGATCCTGGGCCTGTGCGATCAGGACCCTTCCGATGTAGACCCTGAACCCTAAGCCCTAAGCCCTAAACCCTAAACCCCAAACCCTCAGCCCTAAACCCTGAACCCTAAACCCTGAACCCTAAACCCTCAACCCTAAACCCAAAACCCTAAACCCTAAACCCGAACCCGAAACCCTAAGTGCCTAGGCATCCAGGCCGAAACCTGAAAACCCCCACGCCCTAAGTTGGGCTCATGCGGCCTTGTCGGCACGAGCATGACATGTTGCAGGCGCCGCTACTCGGAGGGCACACTGATTTGAGACCAGCTTGGAAGGGGATGGCAGAATATTTGCCATTGGTGGAGGGGGCCCTGGTGTGCTGGAAATGGTGGAGGTGGATGAGGCCGTGATGTGAGTAGCTCCGGGTGTGCACAGGTGGGGGGATCTGTGGAGAAGCGTGTTCGCCGTTATAGGCACTCGACTGGCGCACTGCCCTGAGCGGAGGTGACGGTGTTTGCTTGGCTTAGTACCCTGAAGGGTGACCTCTGGGGGAAGTGCTTGGCTGAGCGAAGTTATCGCGAGGATGGCAAGCTGTCTTGCCCTTATGCCGGCCCGCCGGGCAGTACTCTGCTCGATGGGTGCAGGTGGCGGGTCTGCCTAGTGGTCGCTTTGTTTGGAGCAAACACGCCCTCACGCTCAACTGGGCCTTTTCGTTCGTCATCGCGTCGTGGTTGCGTGCTGTTGGCTGTTGCTGTTTGTCGTTGCGTTGTGTTGTTGTGGCTGACACTTTAAGCCTTCGCGCTGGAGGTGTCGCCAGTTTGTTAGGCCAGGCATGCGTCTTCGGCCCGACACATGTCTCGGTCGATGCTCACTCACTCACTCACTCACCCTAAACCCTAAACCCTAAACCCTAAACCCTAAACCCTAAACCCTAAACCCTAAACCCTAAACCCTAAACCCTAAACCCTAAACCCTAAACCCTAAACCCTAAACCCCAACCCTAAACCCTAAACCCTAAAAACCCTAAAAACCCTAAACCCTAAACCCTAAACCCTAAACCCTAAACCCTAAACCCTAAACCCTAAACCCTAAACTGCAGCGGCAATGGCAAAAACCCTAAATCCGGCAGCTGTTGGATTTCCAGGGCTCTTCCGCCATCACCCAGCTGCTCAGGGCGGCGGAGGAGGAGCGATTGTGAGGGGACTGGGCTTTAGTTTTGGTGTAGGGGCTTAAGGAGTGTTTTTCTGGCAGGTGTTGGTGACATGCTTTGTGTTTCCTTTGTGTTGTTTGTTCTTTTCTTCCTCTTTCTTTCACTCAGTTATATTAGTTCTTTCTTTCTTTATTTTTTCTTTGCACCTTCGTTTCTTTGTCTGTGGTTCTTTATTTCGTTGTTTCTTTGTTTGTTTGTGGTTTCTTTGTCATCTTTGTTTCTTTGCCTCTTTGTTTCTTTATCTCTTCGTTTCTTTGTTTCATTGTTTCTTGATTTCTGGATTTCTTTCTTTGTTTCTCAGTTTCTTTGTTTATTCGTTGTGTCTTTTGTTGTCATTTCTTTGTTTCGTTGATTCTTATTCTTTGTCTCATTCATTCGTTACTGCTGTGTTTCTCTCCCTCGCTGTCTCCCATGCCATCTCTCTCTCTCTCTCTTTCTCTCTGTCCTTGACCATGCTTCACGTTTCAATAGGGGCTGTGGGGTGCGTGCATGTGCCCCCTCAACAACACAACAAACCGCAAGACACCCAGAAGGTGCTCAGGAAATTTGACCCCGGAAAGTAAGCGGCCAGGATCCCTTCGCGTACCCCTGGGACACGCTGCAGCATGGCCTACTAGCCTGGGGCCGTGAAGGGCGTCTGGCCCTAAACCCTAAACCCTAAACCCTAAACCCTAAACCCTAAACCCTAAACCCTAAACCCTAAACCCTAAACCCTAAACCCTAAACCCTAAACCCTAAACCCTAAACCCTAAACCTTAAACCCAAAAGCAGAAACCCTAAATGGTTTACAGGGCCCCTGGGGCTTGAACAGCTGTGCCTTTCAGTAACGGCACCGGCCTCTTTGAAGGCTGCAAATCCCGAATCGCCATGAGCTCATGGCCCTGATTTAGTTTAGGGTTTAGGGTTTAGGGTTTAGGGTTTAGGGTTTAGGGTTTAGGGTTTAGGGTTTAGGGTTTAGGGTTTAGGGTTTAGGGTTTAGGGTTTATATAGGGTTTAGGGTTTAGGGTTTAGGGTTTAGGGTCGAGGGTCTAGGGTTTAGGGTTTAGGGTTTAGGGTTTTCTTAGGTTCTTAGCAGCCTCTAAGGGTCTGGAGTTCCGGGTCTAGGGTACCTTTTCAGAGATGTGGTCAGTTCTTACGATTAGGTTGGGAGCCCTAAATATTAGGGGCTGCCTCCACAAGAGGGAGCAAAATCTCAGTATGTGCCCGGCACGGTTCCTTGAATACGCTCCCTACTGGTAAGGGCTCTTTACTGGGGTTTGTAAAGAATCCTGAAAACCAAGGTGCAACAAGGTATATCCATAGGAGCTCAAGGTCGAACACAAAGAGTTGAGTGCAAAGGCCCGAAACCCTAAACCCCTAAACCCCATAAGTCCCAAGCCCCAAAGCCTCGCAAGAGGTCCCAGCATCTTAGTGCCGCAGCGTCGGCAGACCCTGCCCTACGGGAGGCACAGGGTGTTGGGGCGTTTAGTGTAGGGTTTTGCGCGTTTGGGATTCAAGTTTTGAAGGGAAAGACTTTGTGTGCTTCTGGGACCGGCAGGAAGCTTGTTTCTGTAGAGTGTTGTGTGGCTTTTGGTGGGAGTTGGGGAGCGCGTGAGCGATTCGAGATTCCAGCCCTCTAAGCGCAGCCCTGTCCCTTGAACCACAACCGGCACATGTGTGCACAACCTAAAGCCCAAGGCCCTAAAAACCTGAAACCCTAAACCCAAGCCTTCTGGTTACACTAGCGTGAAGCCTGCTGCCGCAGAGAGTGCTTGCAGAAACCCAAGCGTTCGTGACCCCAAGTCCCAACTACCCCAAAGCCCGAAAACGAGCATTCCTAAAGCTCAACGAGATGTTTTGGGATGGGCCCCTTTTGCCCTCCTTGGTGTGCTCCTAGTTTAAGCTACCCAATACATAACAGGGAGCGATTTAAATCTTGAATCCCAGGTGGCCGGCGATTGGTCATCCACGCCCTGAACTGCCGAAAGCCAAACCACCAGCAAAACAGGTATTCTACATACTTTCGACATGTTGGGGGCAACGGTGGCGGCTTCTAGCCTGAAGCCCTCGACCCTAAACTCGAACTAGGTGGGAAAAACGACCCTGGGCAACCCCTAACTCCTGAACCACAACCTTGGAGCTACCAGGGGACGAAAAGAGGGACCCTTTCCAACGGACCTTAGGGGCTACTTAGGCGGGACTCTAGGTATATGGAAGGTTATATCGGGATCATAATTTTTGCTTCGCCTTTAGTTGAACTTTAAACTTATTGGGTTTCCTTATTTAGTAGGAACATTAAAGTTTATCCTTTCTTTCCCCTTGGTTTTTGGAGAAGTATGTAATATACTATATCCCCTTGGGGAATCATTTTTTTTATTTTTGTTTACATAAAACCCAAGAGGATATTACAAATATTATTCTTATTCAGGTTCTAAGGGGAGTATAGATATGGGGTCCCTGCTTATACCCGTTCGCCCCTAAACTGAGTCCAGGCCCAGCTGCTGCTCTGCACCGAGCCAGTCGCCGGCTGCATCATGTTGCGGCAGCGCCTCGCGCGCACGTGGAGGGGTTTAGGGTTTAGGGGGGTGTTCCAAGCCTGTTGCCCAAGGGTTTTGAGGTTCGGGGCTGCGCCGTGCTCGGCAAGCGAAGGGCTCGTATGTCGCAAGGTTTTCGGTTCAGGAGGGCTTTCTGTGAGGATGTCCGGGATGGATTCGACTAATCACTCGCGCCTTGCCTGGACATCAGAACTGCAGGACATTCAAGGATATCTAAGCATTATTACTGTGATTATGCTTGTCGTTGTTCTTACTACTACTGCTGACTACTTCTATTTCAAGAAGTAGTACCGCTCTTCTGTTCTTATTCTTATGAGTTATTGTTGCCATTCTTCGTAGTATTTCATTTTTTACGATGATAATTGTTATAATCAGTATAAGTATACTTATTGTTGCTGTTAGTATTACTATGATTGTTACGATTAATGTGTTCAGTACTAAAATGGTTTTCATTCTCGCGTTTTACAACCGCAAAAGCTACGATTGCCACCATTTTACTAGTCTCACTGTCATTTCTATTGTTACCAACAGTATTTCTACTAGTATGGTTTTTTATTTCTATTATTACTATTCTTGTTAATATTCTATTCCTATTGTTGTCACACTTGCGGTGGCTAGTATCTATTGATTAGAACTATTTTGTTTACTACTTTACTTTCGTCGCGATTATTACTACGGAAAATGTTGGTTGTTGGCTATGATTGTTTTTGTCACTCTGCTTATTGCCGGTAGTAATGGTTCGATTGCTGCCGACAAATTTCTTTTGTATTACTACATGATGCGTTACTGTTTCTATTTTGAGCTTCGTATTATTATTGTTATTATTTCAATCGTGTATGACAATTTCTTCTCTTGTTATCACTGTTTTTACTGTTGCTATCAGTACTCTGATTCTTGTTGTTTTTGTGTACTTTTCAGTTTTTTTTTTCATACGTGTATTGCTAGTTCTATTCATGCGAAGCAGCACTAAGTGTCAGGGGTTTGGCTGCTCGGCGCTTGCGTGAGGCCTTCTCTGCGCAGTCTGAACGCAAGCCTTGAACCCTTAAAAAACTCCAACACCCTCAAGTCCAGGCCCCCCCACCTAGAAGCCCCCTTTTTGCATTCTGAACCCTAAGAGAAGCCAGACCCTGAACCTCAAAAAGGCTCAGCGTAGTTGGCCCCCCACCGTATTCGGAAAGCAACACAGCGCATAGCACGTAAGCTGTCAGCTGCAAGGTGGGCCAGTAGGGAAAGGGGTAGTCTGCCGATGCTGGGAGCCGTGGATGCAACAAGATGGCTTGAGGGCCGCAGGGGTTACGGCCAGAGTCCAGAAGGTCACCGAAAAGTTAGAAGTATAGATGAGTGGGCATCTAAACAAGGTGTTGTTTGGTTACGGCTTAGAGGGCTGCTTGGAAGAGGTTTGGCTTTTAGACTTTGGGGCATCTTGGGGGCTGCTCGACGGTCCAGTTTTCAGGGTTTCGTGGAGGGGAAGGGGGGGGGGGGATTGCGAGTTTACTGCTCGGTAAGCAACCCCGAGCCAGAGAAGTCGCGCAGGGCGGACATGCCTGGTTCTGCATGAGTTCCTACCAGCAAGCCTTTTGGGTTTGCAGCTCGCCAAAGGTCGACGTAGAGTGAAGGAAGTCAGAGAACCGAACACACGGGAGTTTTAAACTATTTCGGGCGTTGAGGCGTTGGGCTTGACTAGGACCCGGAGTAGGCCCTTGTTTCCTTTTTTCAGGGTTGGGGTTCCTTTGTCACCCCCCGTAAAACCAACAAGGGTACCCTGTTTATTCCTAGGTTACGCCTGGGTCTAAGAGATCAGCCAGGCTTCTACGGGGTGGCTCTTCTGAACGGCTGCCCACCGCAGGCGCATCGGCTTCGCCAGGGGAAGTGGAGACTGGATGTAGGGCTTATAGTGCTTCCTCAGACGAGGTCTTAGTTCGGGAACGAGGTACCTTACATCACTTCCAGGGATCGTACGTTCCTACTGCAATTCCCCATTTCCTTACGAAGATCCTTAGGCACGTGTTTTTGTGCCTAGGACGTGAAGACCTTCTGGCGAGGGTTCGGGGAGCTGCTGGACAGCAGCTCCAAAACCCGAATGGCCACCAACAATCTCATCCTCTCGGAGCAGCCGCTTCCTTTGCAGCTTTGAGGGGTTTAGGGTTCAGGGGGTCGGGTATCTGAGAGAGAATGAAACAGATGCTGGCTGCAGAGTCCGGGTCATGTGATGCATGCATCCCTACAATGTGGTGCCAGGCCGCCAGCAAAGTTAGGAAGAGGAAGAATGGGCGCGAGGCATCCGCGAACACAATATTTAGGTGGATGATCTCGGAGAGACTGCCCTTCTGCACGCAACATGCCTAGCCCCCTAAGCCCCAAAACTCTTTAGCCCTAGGCCCTCCCGCCCAGGATCTTCTACCAGACGGGCAGGCGGCTGCCTTATGTCCGGGCGCACGGACTCTATACGGAGGCCCAGGGTAAGCACTGCCGTTTTTGTTTAGCTTCGGTGTATGTATGTATACTTACGCATATGTATATTCTACATATCTATACCCATAAGGGGCCGATTTGTAAAAAACATGTATGTGTGTGCGCGCACACACACGGACATACACGTACATCAGCGGGCTAGGCCCGGAGGATCTACTGGAATCAGCAACGAGCACATCCACTGTAAACACTAAGAACCAATCCCAAAAGTTCTCCCCAAGAAGGCCTCAACCCAACATTCAGTCTTGAGCCCCGAGACTTCTTGACTGTGCAGGTCACCTACTCACCCAAGCTTCTGGACCAAGTGCTCTTCTGGAGGCCAGGGCAGATTGCAGTTCCAGCTGTGTCTGACAGAAGCTGCAGAGTGACATGAAGTGGCCTGAGGTCGCCTCTCTTCGCATACGACCCCCGGCTTCAGAGCTAGGATGAGTACGAGCGTGTCGGTGCAGCTGTCGAGTCGGGGGCTTTTACAATTTCGTGGGATGCCCCGACAAGCCACAATCCTGTAGCACCTGCCTCGAAGTTCGCAACAACTTAACATGCTGATTCTGCGGTGTATGTAGAAAGAGCTATGGTGCCATCCTCCTAGCGCTCGGATGATAGCATGTACCTTGCCTGCGTAAAAGCGCCGCTCTTTGCACAAAGACACCGAGGCAACGCTGCGCTGTGCCATGCATCGCTTTCTCGAAGGCGGCACGTGTGTGTGGGTGTGGGTGTCGAAATTGAGTGCATTGGCTGCTTTCTGGGCCTGGCTTCACTTAGCGCATGCTTAGGCTTCAGGTGTTCGCTGCTCTTTGCCGACTGCCCCATAGAAGCAGCAGCTACTTACATCCACCATGACACGCCCTGAATCCAAGAATCAGCTTCTCTTTCCGGCTGAGTTTCAACCGCCGCAGAAACATTGGGGGGCGGCGGACTGCGAGGGGGTCTCGGCCCCCGAGCCCCATGAGGGATTCAAAGAAAGAGATCGAAAGACAGAGAGAGATAGAGAGAGAGAGAGAGAGAGGGATAACGCTAATTACTATTAAACCTGGGTAAGGGAGGTCTCCACAAAGCGTCAGACTCTGTTAAGCGCCCCCCTCGGGGCTGCCCCTTCGGGGTTACGTGCTCTGGAAGGAAGGAAGGAAGATAAAGAGATGGGAAAGAGAGAGGGAGACAGAGATGAAGCTCCCTCTTCACACAGACTGAGACACCTCAGGCGCGCTGTGCGCGGCAGGGGGGGGGACCCTCACGCTGAGTAGAAGAAGAAGGGGGGAGGAGGGAGAGAGGGAGGGAGAGGCAGAGGGGGAGAGAGGGGGAGAGGGAGAGAAGGGGAGGAAGAGAGGGAGTGCAGGTTGTCCTCTGCAAGGTTGGCTGGGTGATACCTGTTGCTGTTTTTGTTGGGGTGGTGGGGGTAGTGTGGAGTGGATTTCACGAGCTGGGGTTCTGACAAAAGTCTCACGATGACACAGCACTTGGGGCGTGGTTTGCGCGCGGCGTGTTTGTTCGGGGCTCCGCATGTCCAGACGAAGAAGTGGGGCGCGAGGGGGGATGAGAGGGGAAGAGAGGGGAACAGAGGGGAAGAGAGGGGACGAGAGGGGAAGAGAGAGAGAGGGACACATGCGCCTGACACGGAGGCTTCTCTCAGTACCCGCTGCAGTTTTACTTTTTGGAGGGCTCGGAGAGCGTGCCCTACGCCAAGGCCAACGAAGCATCTGTCCACAACTTCGCAAGTTTGTCTCGAATCCTTAGCCCATCTGGGACGCACCTAGACCTCGCTTCTTTAGGAAATTTGTTGGCGTGCTTCTCATTTGTGCTTGCCTTCAAGTGCCCGTGCAAACCCATAGTCCACCTGTGTACGTGCAGGCTGTTGCCTTCCGGGCCATCGCCATGCTGCCGCACGACCATGCCCCTTCGTGGATGGGTTGGGGGGGGCTCGTGATTGAGCTGGCGTGGTGTAGGTGTCAGGGCCTTGTTTGGCCCTTCCTCTAAACTCTGATACCCTGAGCCCTACGAGAGGAGGGGGCCTTAAGGTTACAACCTTCAGCCTCCCCGCCCCTCCAGGGACAGTTCAGCGACCAGCGAGCTAAATCCTTAAGAGGTCACCGCAGTTCTGGGTGGGTATAAGCAGGGATACTGATACCATCCGTAGGGCTTTTTGCTTACTCGACCAGTGTACAACAACCCATGAGCCTCCAAGTGGGTAGTTCTCTAAATTGGGGCCCCTTTTCGGTGTCCTAGATAGAGTACAGCGCGTCACCAAAATGGACCCAAATTTGGAGAACCCCCTCCCACAAGTTTTAAAGGCGCTGATGTCCTTCTACGAGCTGTACTCCACAGCCACGCCGCTGCTGCTGCCTTCCGCGGAGTGGATGTATCGTCTGCAGCAGGGCCTGGTTTAAACCCCCTTGAAGCTTTGTTTCGACCCTACCCCAAGCCTAAGTGGGCTGCTTTGGACGAACTCAGGGTCGGCTGCTGGCTTTCTTCCCGGTGGCCTTCTTTTGTGCTGGTGTTGGATTTTGGAGGGGAGTGGGGCTGAGGCGTAAATTCTTGCTCTTCACGCACACAGGCCTCCACAAAGCCACAACGTCTGGCTTGGTACTGTTCATTGTTCAGGGCATTCCCTAAACCCTAAACCCCAAGCCCCAAACTTCACAAACTCCAAGAGCCCTAGACCTTAAACTGTATCCCCCTTGGGAATTATGTTTGTTTTGGTTTATATAAACCCCAAGAGGGCATTAAAAATATCATGTTTATGAAGGTTCTAAGGGGAGTATAGTAAACCCGAGAGCAGGGGACCGTAAAATACCTGAAGCTCGACTCTCGGCAAACCGCAACCATGGTTGCATGTGCAGTAGACCATAAAGAAGGGGGGCCGGCGTTCCCCTAAACCCTAGACCCCAAACCCTAGACCCTAAATCCTAAACCCTAAACCCTAAACCCTCGAACGTATCACGGAAGACCCCTTTGATGTAGCAACCGATGCCTTGCTGGCCTTGTGCGAGTGTGAGAGTCGAGTCGAAACCCTCAACCTAATGAGCCCTGAACAGGTTTAGGGCCAACCAGCTTCGGGCCCATCGCTGCGCCCCTCAGGCTGTACATGCGCGGCCAACTCTCAGTCGGCGAGCGCGCCTTTGCCAGAAGTGGAGATCAAGGGTGGGCGGGCGCAAGGTCACACACGCACACACGTATATGTGTGTATATATACATATATATGCAAACATCTGTTTTTACACCTTTTGGTCGAGACCATCAGGTGACGAAAACCCTGAACTTGAACCCCAAACACATAAATCCTGAGAGAGTCCCCAGCTTGAAAGAAGGGGGCTTCGGGAGGCTTCGGGCGTGGAGCCCTTTCAAGTCCCTTGCCCCCCTAAGGAGTCGAAACCCTAAAGACCCCCGCAACCCCTATATACCCCTGAGATACCCTATACCCAAGGGCCATATTTCAGAAACCTTTAGGACCAGGTAAGGGGCCCAATAGTCCCGAACACCCCTGAGGGGGGAAAGTGTATGGGGCTTAGGGCTTAGGGTCTCACCCTCGCTCCCAAAAAGGCTTGGGCTTGGGTGTCTGGCGTTGCTTTCTGTATTCAGCGTTCAGGGCCCAGGGTGGCGCCTTGAGAGGGGAGAAGCACAACCTGGAATGGTTTAGGGTTAAGGGATTCGGGGTTTAGGGCAAGAAACGCGAGACTTCACAAGCCTGAAGCGAAAGGAATCTCGTCATCCAACCCCTTAAGGGCTCTTCGATGGGGGTGAGCTGTTTTGGGGGGGCGCGCACGCTAAACAGATGCAGCAGCAAGGGACCATCATCTTAGGGAGCTGACCATGCATAGCAACCCTCTTAAACCATTACGCTCTACAGTATGGGATTTGGGTTTCGGGAAACGGCTTGGGTTTACAAAAGAGCTGGGGTTAGCGGCTAGGGTTTGTGTTTTGGGCTTAGGGACTAGACCTTGGCAGCAAAGAGTAATTACCAGTTGCCAAAAAAGGGAGAAACCTTGCGCTTTGGGTTCATGTGTTTCCCTAGTACCCCTCTACTACACCCCTAGGTTCCCCCTTAAATAACCTCTTGGGCTTAATGATCCTTAAATAGCCTTAGTTATGAGGGGGAACCGTGTAGAGGGGGGTAGTAGGGGAACCCATGATGGGTTCAGGTTAGTATACTTCGAACTTGCAAACCTGCCTCCTGAAGTCATGAGACAGGCTGGTATCAGTCCATCATGCCGGGCCACGAGCCCCCCTTCTGCGAGTTCGAGGATGCCAGGGTAGCTCCACTAAACCCCAGACTGCAACCCTCTACCTACCCGAGTTGTCTTTTCTCAAAAGTTCTTGGTCGATGAGTGGAATTGGGTACCTTTCATCCTTTGTGTGTTATATGGGACGAATGTAGGGAACCCGATTCATTCTTTCCGTGCTTGGAACCTCTGAGTTCGGGGGAAGTAAACCGTGCACCTAAGGACGATCAAGCTCCGTTTCGTCATTTTTGGGGTTCTGGGCTCTTCGCACAAAGCAAAACGACGTGGCGAAGCAGCGTGCCCTTCATCAACGTGTGAACTAGCACAATGATCAGAACTTCTGGTGAACCGGCTGATTATCTGGTCTTGATGTTCCTATATTCTTGGGCTGCCTAGCCTGGGGCCTCATGGAGATTTATTGCTCGGGTTTTGGTGTCGTGTCTCTGAT